GACACACATATATCTATTAACAACAATATCACTTAATCACAAAGAATACTTCCTGATTATTTTGAGTCAACATCTGTGTGTAATCATACATGTACATTGTACCTTAATTTTTTTGATAGGATTTGGTGGCATACTGTATCAGGAGTGTTAAGTCAAGTCATGTTTGTTTCTACATGCATTTTGGTGAGATGTAGGACTTCCAGCCATGAAAATAAGCATGGCTAGACCAAACAAGCCCAATATGTTGTCAAAGCAAGTTGTTAATTGCTGGATAGAGATTCATTTTCTCTATACTAAGAGTAAACTAAATGTAAACAAACCTCTATGAATAATATTGAGCTTGGTTTTTAGATAGTCCAGTGCCTTGACTACCTACAAAGGAATAAATTTTTTAGTCAACATTTTAGGTACATCTGTATGATTAACTGTATAGCAAAAAGACAGGCTGACAATCTTTCACCATCTAAACGTGTTTCAACAAACGCATGTGAACTTTTAGGGACAATGTTAATTCTTTACTGGGACTGCATTTGACTCTAACTGTCAACTTCTTGTCAATGTTCTTCATAAAACAAATAATACCATGTTAATTCTGTATACTAGAACAAACATTTTTAACAGTCCTTTGCAATGTTAGAAAATCCCATGTACGCTTTGTACAGCTGTAGGCAGCATTCGAACCAAGTTATATAAGTAGGCTTAACAGACTGCTTCCAGCTTCTTGCAAACTCTTTCTTAGTGTCTGATCTATAATTATACAAATGTATATTCAAGGCTGTAGTCTAAGTGAAATTAACAAGAAGCCCAAAGGTACCTAACCATGAAATCCTGGGTGCCCAGCACTAAAGCATGAATCAATGAATGAAAACTTTATTAATGTGCCAGTGTATTTAGCTATAGATTACCTAATTGGGGACACTTAACTAAAGTCAATAACTAATGACTAGTTTGCAAAAATTAATGAATAATTAATAAACATAAATTATCTGAAAAAGTAAGTTTTTCCAGTCGCCCAAAGGCAAAAGTTAGTTGTCCGTGGCACCCAGGTGCTTCTGGAGCACAGCCCTGATATGCCAATGCAGGATAGACAGATTGCACAAATGGTGCTGAATTTGACTCACAATATGCTATAAAAACATAGCCTTGCACTGCTGAGAGATATCTTCTATCTTTGCCTGGTGAATGCACATGGCTAAGGTTTTTTTAAACATATTTTCAAATTTGGTGCTATTTTCTGCAACTGGTCTTGTTGCATACATGTATTGTACATGCCAACATCTCCCTTTGAATCAATCATGTCTTTTGAATCAATCATTTTGGGACACTTGAAATCTTAAAATCATGACTCAGGAAATGTTGAAGAGAAGAAACATACCGCTAATGAAGTCATTCCCAGAATATCCTCAGGTATGGTCTCCAACAGGACACCATAAATATGCTTGTAGCACTGATCAAAGGATGTGTCCATCAATTCCATACAAATCCAAGCATCGCCCTACAAATATACAAGTTAAGTTACAGGTTGGAGTCATGAAATTCTCCTGATTGACTTTCAACTGGTGAATAGAGTAAATCAGATTGAATTATTTTACAGGTTGGCATGGATAGTCATATTACATTGCAACTTGTCAACTTCAAATTACAGTCAAACCCCTATCAAGCCCTGTTAAGGGACCAGTAATCAAAGTCCCGATAAGGGTTTTTCTATTGTTTTTACCTCTATGAAGCAGCTGGCCCCCTTTAAGTGGCCATTACCGGTATCCTTTTCCTCAAGGGTGGCCGTTTAATAGGGGTTGAACTGTACATGCAAACTGTATGATACATCATACTGCAGCCTCCCAGAAATATCTTAATAAAAGCGATGTCATACTACCAGAATAGCACAACTTCATTCAACTCGCAGCTCCTGCTCACTTTAGTGAACAGTAATTGATTCTAACTGATTCATTTGATCATAACTGGAATGGATACAAATAAACTATTCATTTAATATTTTGTTTGAAAACAGGTATTTCTTTTTTGCCATACAATTGAAAAGAAAATCTACACGTACAGATGTACAGTAGCTGCTTTTATCAATCTTTGTCTTGATCATAATTATTACCGTAACATGATAGCAAATTTATAATCCATCAATTGATACTTAGTATGGGCCATAATTAAGTGGCCATGTTAGCAAACTGGTCAATTCAACTGTAACAGACAGTCTAAAGGTGGGGTCCTGCAGTACATGTACAGCTGTAGCTCTGGGAACATTGTAAAAGGAAAATTATATGCCTTGGATTCAAACAACATCGTAGGGGGTTATGGGTGGGTGGCTATCCAATAAATATTGTTTTACATGATCACCTCAGTAAACAGGGCTCCGTAGAACTTGACGATATATTCACAAGCACTGCTACGCATAACAACATCCAGGTCCATTAGAAGCTGTTTTTGCTCCTTCTCGTCTACTGTTGAGCGAATTCTCTGGAAACAAGAACAGGGACCAAGATTAAGATTGCCTTGTTTGAACAAAATTTATACAATGTACACCATTTCCAGCCTGTTCAGAATTATAATGTCGAGGTGAGTATGATTTATATCTGATTTTCTCAATGATGTGACATCAAAATAAATAAATAAATCAATAAATCAAATGAATGTGTTATCCTCCTTCCATAACAAACTGTTCTCAGCTTTCAAAGTTCTTTCCAGCGTTTGAAGGATTGTCATGTCCTCCCAAAAGGTCATTTCTGAGTTACCTTGTGCCTCTGTTTCAAAACGACTCCTTGTGTAAAACCTCTCGCATGAAAATGAATTTGATTTGCATGAAAATGAACCATACAGGAAACAAATTTTCTGCCATATGAATGGCTTCACTCAGACTTGTTTTGATACAGTGGCACAGAGGCAAAAGGCAAATCAGAAATGGCTTATTCTTGTACAGG